AATTCCAAAATTAAGAAATTTTTACATGAAAAACCAGTCAAGACCTATGTTTTGAAATACGTGAAAGCAAAAATATCATAGATGATCATCTTAAGATTTGAGTTATCGTCTAAGCCGAATAAACACCATTATGAACCATGATCCCTTCCTGGAATCTTCTCCTCAACATTCTATACAAATTCTCGAATGTGGAACCACTATAAATCGTAGTACCAGATGAAGTCTAATTAGAGGTTACTGGAAATTCGTGATGACAAAGATTCCAAAGAAGTGTAACTTTACATTCAAACGATTTTGATAGCACATAATTATGTGGGTTATGAGACGTAATTCTGGAATATCCAAAGATATACATATATCCCTTCAATGCAGATGCCACAATGTATTTTGCGTTTCCCTGGTCACTGAAGTAGTTGTAGACACTGCAGGAATGAGATTTTCGTTTGAAAGGTATTTAATGTTATCTCCGCAAAATTTAAAGCTATATGCTAGAAGCTGCAATGGCGGCACAAGCTGGCGGCAATGAAGATATGTATACATACCATATACAATGTACTATATAAATATTATGCGGAAAAATGTATAAATCTGAAAATGTCCGTAATAAAACATTGTAGTTTTAACTGTTCGTCGATCGACAACATGACGACTTTTAAGGAATAATCCACCAAAATCTCAAAAACTATTCAAAAAGTTCCTATACAAATGCTTAAGATCTTCTCCTATGGAGATATAACCGCCTAATTGTTATAGAAAGCCATATAATAATTAGCATCAGTATGTTAAGGTGGCAACAGACATAACTGCAAGCTTGCCCATCATGCTTATTCAATCTTTTTGTACGCGTATGCACAATTTACCTTTGGCACCACACGTACAGGCATGCTTGATAAAAATAGAGGTAGTTTAATAAAATATGTCGAGCTCTTACGACGATGCGCTCTCTTTGGCCGCTTTTGTTCGGGTGAAGAAAAGAAAATCCTGTATAAAAAAGCGTGCAGTGTGGTCTAAAGAGTGGTTTATGACTATTCTCACATTAACTTACTGAGCTGAAAATATATCCGCGTGACTGGCGCAATTATCTTAGAATGGATGAAGAGACGTATTTAAACCCTTTGATTCAAAAGTAGGATATGATCATCAACGAACTCCAACTTGTGCAAGATTGAAAATCTTGGGTACACACGCACCGTTTTGCTTGCGCAAGCGCGCCTATTCAAACATGCATAATTAAAATCAATTCAATCCTCAAGCTGCTTGTACATTTACAAAGCTTGCACCACATTCCCCTACAGTCATTCAAGCGTGCTTATACAAAAAGATTGAACAAGCATGCTGGACATGCTTGCAGTTGTATTTGTAGCCACCAAATCAGGCATAATCAAGGGTCACTACCTAGGCAGAAAAAAGCATGAAGAACACTTATCCAATTTTGCAGAGAATCATGGCTCTCTGGGAGTGACGGGCGCTTACGCGCATACATACGTATACAATATGTACAACGTTTACAATGCACATGAAGTGCATACTATGCACACAATGTATAAATGTATACAATGTATATAATGTAAATAATGTATACAATGTGTACAATGTATACAATGTATACAATGTATACAATTTATACAATTTATACAATGTATACAATTTATACAATGTATACAATGTATACAATGTATACAATGTATACAATGTATACAATGTATACAATGTATACAATGTATACAATGTATACAATGTATACAATGTATACAATGTATACAATGTATATAATGTATACAATGTGTACAATGTATACAATGTGTACAATGTGTACAATGTATACAGTGTATACAATATATACAATGTATGCAATATTTTGAATTTGCGCGGTTGCCATATCTTCCCAGTGGATCGTTATAAATGTAGCAATTCAAATCTTGTAAACTGAATACTACTTCAGGAAATCCAAACATGGACAACAAATGCATACCTAATGCATTGTGTTCAAGCAAATAAATAATTTTGTCACTGTCAGTTGATTTGCTTTACGAAATTGATTTTAGTTCATGATGTTGCCAAATTTTACATACGAATAGCGTTGAAAAATTGTAGTAAGAAAACTAAAATTATTTGTATAACTTGTACGCCATCTTTCGATAACCTGAGATTGGATTTGTACAGAATTACTATGCTTCAAACAAAATTATATAAATGAAAAAAAGGAACTGCTTTTTTTATTGGACAACCGATGGCTTATCGACTTGAGCTTTCTGTCACGAAATTTCGTATAACGTAAACAGGGTTTGCTTTTGTACTAAAATATGTATATGTCGCTGAATGTAGTGCTGCAAATGACGTGTACTGCCGCCCCCCAAAAGTTTTGTATCGATCTTTCAAGTACCATATACTTTCTTGAATAATTTGTATGTACAGATATGTGTCGCTATTTTCTTATTTTCCTTTTTAAAGTGAAAATGTTATAGGTACATTCTCACTACACTCTTCCCGTATCGTGTCATCTCGACAAAAGTCAAATCTCCCCTAGTATGCTAAAATCTCATTAAATACTATCCATTGTTGCCAAGGAGGAATCGAGCCTATCGCCACCGAAACATAATTCGTAAAGAAACAGGGAACGAACCCGGCGGCAGAGTGTCGTTGGAAGCAGTCGCTGCAAAATGTAACCCCTTGTCATCCCTTGTGTCGCTATGGAAAGTATATTGAGGGGTAGAGCGACTACTTCAAGTTTAATTTGGCTTTAAATTACACTTAGCTACGCGCCAGGGGGAGTAAACGTCTCAACTCCACTACCGCCTTTGTCTAACGGAAGCCAGCAGGTATTTTATCAGCCACCTTTCTGAAAAACCTTATAAGAATTGTTTATTAATCGCTCAATTATATTTTTTCACTGTTGCGATTGTTTGAATGTTTTCTGTCTCTTTATAATCTGTCGGAGTGGTACCTAGGCTGTCTAGGGCTTTGCTTTTAGATAATATTTCGTCTTTTATATATTTCTTTTATAGCCCGGCAAGGGAACACAAAAGCCAAAGCCTTGCAAAAATTCTATAATGGATAAAAATAAGGATTCAGGTGGCAAAAATAGCCTTATTTTGCATACGACTCCTGCGGTAGGCACGTACTGAGAAATTATATATAACCTTTTGATTTCTTTGTTACAATAACAAAAGTTGTTTCTATTATATGTTATTAAATAAAGTAAATTTTCTTAGAGCTATGCTTAGTTCATTCGTAAATGCACATAGATAATTGCGTTGTGCCGTTTGATATTTTCTCATATTGTTGGCTATTTGAAACAGTTTTGTCAAGAGCTTAGCCATCTCTGCTCCTGAGGCAATGATAGGGCATTATTTATTACTTATGGTCCCCATATACGAATCGAAAATTTTGATTTGAATGTCTTACGAGGAAGGTTGATTAAACGTAAGGGTGTATGAAATAAGAAATACATTGCACATTATCCTGGATCAGAAAATCTACCTGTAAAGTATAATAGAATTGAATTCGATTTACCATATTTTTTTCATCGACAAAACTGCATTTTTATGAAAGTAAAACGAGGCATGACTCTATTTTTCAGCTTCGAATAGTAATGCCGATTTTAGGGACAACAATACTTCCTATCCATCATTTTTACAGTGGTCCAGTATCATCTACCGCCAATATGTAGAGACTCCATTCGGGTAGCAAAACGCTGCTAGCTTACAATGTGTTTCGCTACTCTACCGTTTCCGTACCAGACTATAGGCATGGAGAACGGTGAGCTGCTCAAGTGATAGTTACTATCTAAAAAATCTCAGAATGTTAAAAATTACACTTTCGCCTGAAAACCGATGGATAAATCACAAACTGCTTCAAGTTATAGTTTAAACCAAATGATTGCCGAAAAAATATGAACCTTACAGAGCATTGGAAATTGTATAGGAGTATCAGAAGGCCCCAATTGGCATAGAACTTAAGGAGGGATTATCAGGTAATACTCGTCGGTAATACTTTCAACATCTTTAATGCTGCAGTCCTCATGAAAATCTAACATCAGAATGTACCCACATTCCACAAGCTCTGCTTATGGTAGATCGTTCGTCACTTGGAGTCTTCGAAATTGATAGGAATATCCCAATACTACCAGAAGTGCGCCTTTCAAACAGTTTGTTGAATATCAATTAGATAAGTGCTGGTTTTTAAACCATACCATCGAGTTCGGATTCGAGACCACCGAAATCAATAATCGATTCCCACTTTAGTGCTGTTTCTTTCTAGAGCCCAATAATACCGTTTTGCAATTGAGGAATTGGGTATCGGAAGGAATCAGAATTAAAACGAATGGTGAAGGAATCCCAGGAATCAATTCCGAGAACGGAATTACTAATAAAAGAGCGATTTGGCCAAGGTTCTACCGTGTATAACGCCAGAAGTTGGTCTGACTCTTGGAACGCCTGCATTCAAAGTGCTGTCATCCGCATGGCTGTTGATTGGACTTATTTCACATCTCTTGGGGTTACCACTGTTATTAATCTGGAACAATGTATTTTAACCAACATTTTGATGGATCCCCATGTTCCACTGGTCGCCAATTAAAACCACATACGAGGCTTGTCCGTAAAATAAGTTCCACGGGCTGCCGCTGGCGCTAGGATCGTTTCTATGCACAGCCAGGCAACAGAGGCAGATTGTTTGGTTCCCCCACTCCAATCCCTCACCAAGCCAGCGTCGCTGCGATGTTTAGTCTTGGCTCAGCAGCCGTCAGCGAGGCGCTTCCTTTTGCGTCTCCCGCCAGCTGCGAGTTGCGGTCTGTTATTCGTTTCCTGGCCGCTAAGAAGAAATCGGCGAAGCAAATTCACGAAGAACTTTGTCAAGTGTATGGAGAAGACTGTACGAGCTGCGGGATGGTGCGCAGATGGGTCAGGGACTTTAAAAATGGCCGAACAGACGTCCACGACGAAGCCCGTGCAGGGCGGCCATCGGTTTCCGACGAAACAATTGCCAAAGTCGAAGCGGCAATGCTTGAAGATCGACGGATTACAGTTCGGGAGCTGTGCACAAAGATTCCGGAGGTCAGCAAAACCACAATTGACAAGATTTTGACTGAACATTTAGGCTATTCAAAGGTCTGCGCAAGATGGGTACCAAGAATGCTCATTGCAGACCACCGGCGGCAGCGGGTTGAAGCGGCCCAAGAATTTCTCGCTTTTCACGGAACAACCGAAGAGGAATTTCTGGACTCTATTGTTACTGATGACGAGACCTGGGTACACTACACCACGCCGGAAACAAAGGAGCAATCGAAGCAGTGGAAGCACTCTTCTTCACCAAGCGCAAAGAAGTGCAATCAAATCCTGTCTGCCGGGAAGATCATGGCTAGCGTTTTTTGGGATCGAAAGGGCGTATTGTTGTGCGAGTTTATGCCTCGCGGGACAACAATCAATGCTGACCGGTACTGTGAGACCTTGAAAAAACTTAGACGTGCCATTCAGAACAAGAGAAGAGGACTGCTGACGAAAGGAGTGCGTTTTCACCATGACAATGCCCGACCGCACACCGCCAATCGAACCACAGCCCTCATCGAAAGATTTGGATGGAAAATGGTGTCTCACCCACCCTACAGCCCAGACTTAGCACGAATGCAGAGATGCATAGAACGCAACGGCGATTATGTAGAAAAATAAAAGAAAGACTGAACTTTCCAAAAATGTATTTTCTTTGCAATTAAACCAATTTTTTGATATGAAAAAAATTTGTGGAACTTATTTTACGGACACGCCTCGTATTTAGAACAGTTTTCGTTTATACTACCTCGATGTCTTTTTTCAAATCCATTTATTGCCATTATCATTATTTGAGTTGCTCTTTGAAAAAGGCTACCGATGTGGCCGAACCATTAATAAGTCCTCGATTGTACATCTGCGTTTGAATTTTGCAGCCAGTGAAATATGTAGACGAACAAAGAGCGACCTACAGCTCATCCGATGTCGATGGATGGCCGAGTTCTGCCAAAACGTCGTTCATGTCGGCTGGTCGGAGCCCAGATGTATAAAGATAAATTTTTGATATTTAAAGAATCAGTTTCTTTAATTTGTGTATTCGGTCGCAGAAGTTTCCGAAACTTTGGAAAGTCTCTAAAGTGTTCCCTGTGCTACAAACTGGAGACAGGTCCAACATTGAACGATCTCCATTTTGTGCATGTTCTCGAAGGTCTTTGAGATAATACTTTACAAATGTATTTATAATTCGACGCAAAATCAACACTCACAACATCAACATGGATTTGTTAAAAACCGTTCAACTGCTACAAATCTAGTTACTATAACGCAGGCATTGGTCAAAAATATTCAAGTTGACGTCATCTACACGGACTTCTCGAAGGCCTTCGATTGAAAAAATCATGATGTATTGCTTGGAAATTTAATCAAATTAGATTTTTCTAGTGATGGACCTTTTTGAATCTTATTTATCTTCGAGGTGGCAATTTGTTTCTTATAATAATGTTCGTTCTGATACTAACTTAGCCTCATCCGGTGTTCCGCAAGGTTCGAATTTGGGTACTTTGCTGTTCTTGCTATTCATCAATGATTTTTGTGAAGATTTGCAGAGTGAGCGTTTATGTTTTGCGGATGATTTGAAAATATAGTCCGTCGTCAATGATGTGAATGATTGTACTTTCCTTCAGACTCAATTGGACATCCTCCAGCACTGGTGTGATATCAATAAGTTATTTCTTAATGTACCCAATTGTAAAATTATGAGTTATTCTACGAGGAAAACTACTTCACTTTATTTACCTGTTAAATGGGCTATCTCTGGAGTGTTTTACCGAAATTAAGGATTTAGGTGTGGTTTTTGATTACAAGTTAACATTTGGTAAACATATTGAAGCATTAGTTTCACATTCTGTACGGTTATATGGATTTGTTGTTAGAAACTGTAGACATTTACATAACATAAGAACCATTAAGCTACTGTATTTTGCTTTTGTGAGGTCTAAACTGGAGTATGCTTGTATAGTTTGGAATCCCTTTTATGAGTGCCAAAAGAGTTATTTGGAGAAAGTACAGAGAAGTTCTTAGTTTAAAAATTGATTGAAATTTACCCAGAAAGGGATGTTACCAATACCGAAATATACATTCGTGTTGACCTTATATCTCTAGAGCAGTGTAGGACTTGCGCGACGTGGATATTTTTGTTTAAGCTTTTAAATAATCTAATTGATAGTCCCTCACTTCTTGGAAAGATCAACATCAGTGTACCGACTTTTGCGTCGCGTACTCACTTCTCGTTCAGAGCTACAAGGGCAAAAACAAATATTTCGCTGAATAGTATGTTTAAAAATGTCAATAGAATCTGTACTTTCTGTGACATATTTTGTACTTCTAACAAAGAATTAGTTAGGACAGCTAATACATACGTAGGTCAAGGATATACTATAGATGAGATATTTTTATTTTGTTATATAGTTTGTCTGTATTTTTTGTATCGATATATTATATATATATATACATATATATACAGGGTGTTTCAGTTTATTGTTGCATAACTTTAAGATTCGATAGAACTTAATAGAAATTAATGCATAAAGTCTATATAAACATGGGCCGAAAAATGCGTGGCTTCCGAAATTTACTTTCTAAAATAGTTTTTTTTAAATATTTCGAACAACATTTGATGTATAACAGTGAAAATTGGTATACAAGGGTTTTTTGGTACGACAAAACGAACCATGGGTATAGTTTTACTGTAGCCGCTAGAGGGCGCTCTCTAGTGTACCTGTAGTGTATTAGAATGACCGAAAAAATTTTCCTAGTGCAATTTTTTGCTTTTTGAATAAAAAAACTGATTCTTCGCACTTTTCAACATAAAAAAGCTCTCCTGTGAGTTTTCGTTATAGTTAGCCGTTTTTGAGATATTTCGATTTTTAAGGTTCGATGCATTTTTTATTATTTATGGGAAAATAATATTTTTTTTACATTTTCGATTTGGGCATTACAAGTAATTAAGATGATCGTTTAGATTGTGTTTTTAAGCACAGCAATAATTCCTACCTCCAAATAAACACAAAAAACAGAATATTAATTTGTTTAATTTTCCAATATTATTTTTAACAAATTAAATTAATTATTTACATCTAAAATGCTATTGGATAGTTAGGACAAACATACAAAATCTAAAGTAGTTGCTCGAAATGTAAACCCAATTGTTGAATACACAATTCACATCTGCGAATGATCGAACATGGTATAGCATTATTCAAATAAGGCCTTATTTCATCACATGCATTCCTGATTCTGTCTATTAGCATATCTCTTGTGGTTACGGGAGTCTGGTACACTTTTTCTTTTAGAAATCCTCACACAAAGAAATCTAATGGATTTAGATCAGGGGATCGTGGAGGCCAGGCGGCTGGTCCTCCACGGCCGATCCATCTCTGGATAATTTTCGTCGCAGCATTTAACCTTGCAAGCAAAAGGTAGGGTCCAAATAGTCGATTACGGTAGATACCAATCCACACGTTCACACTAAATTCATGCTGAAAATTTATTTCCCGAACTGCATGCGGATTTTCATGCGGCCAAATATGTTGATTATGAAAATTTACCACTCCACGTCTAGTGAAGCATGACTCATTGGTCCATAAAACGTTACTTAAAAACTCCCTATTATTATCAGTTCTATCAAAAATCCACTGACAAAATGTGATTCTTCGTTCTCCGTCCCCTGGCTGTAGTCCTTGCACAGGTTTCAAATGGTAAGGACGTCTATGGTCATTTCTAAGAACACGGTGAACATGGCTTGCTGAAATTCCCAAGGCACCAGAAACTCTCCTAACACTTGTGGTCGGATCTCTATCAAACTCACGCAGAATCATACGGGTAAAGCTGCGCTGACGAACATTTATGTTTTGATCCCTTTGGAGATTTCCAAAACCATTTTCAATTATTTGGCGATGCACTCTTACAAATACTGAGCGAGTTGGATGTTGTCTGTTTGGAAATCTTCGTGCGTATTCTCTGGCTGCTTCTGCTGCGTTTCCATTTACAAAGCCATACACAAAATGAATATCCGCTAACTCTTGATTGGAGAATAAAAATGGCATTTTTATAAAACAAAAAAACAGGTAAAAGAGACTAAATTTCGTGCATTCACAATTGCAAAAAAACGTTTCAGGTTTCAACAGACAACAAAACTAACTGTCAACTAATTGACGTTTAACCTTATTCTGCTTTCAATTTCAAAAATATTTGCAGGCACAGCCTACTTCTAAAAATTATCGAGATACTGACTTTTTCCCCGAGGGTGTCGAGATTGTGAAACAATCTACAATAAGAGGTTCTACTAAGCCTAGTTCATAAGACAGATTAGCAACTTTCCTTTGACATCCTCATAGCAGCCGTGGTGCCCTGGCATTTAGGCCTCTGCCTGCCGGGCGCTTCGGTACAAAGAAAGTCAGCAAAACAACAACAATGTTACACTACAATGGAGAATTTCCACATGCCAGTCTGGGGACCTGTTCGAATATCCGAGACTTTTATTATCTTTTCCGGAATATTGGACCCCTCCGACGCCACTGTCCACCCCCATCCTCCCTCAGCGTTTCGGTTTGGGGGGCTGGTTCGGTGTCTCGCCGACCGGCTGCAGCTGGCGAGCTCAGGGGTGGCTGGAGCCCGTTCCCATGGAGACGATGCCTCCGCCGGTGACCGTGCATCCAGCAAAACTCCGGCCTGCTCCTGTTGGAGCCGCACCGCGCCAGCCGGAGTTCTGGAGTTGGAGTTCCGCATGCAGCAGTAGAGCTGATGCTGCCAACGCAAAAAGCGCCGCTGCACCCGCACCGGGTCAATGTATTCGCTCTGTTCCGGGTGGACGTTGCCGTACGACCGGGCGAATACTGCAACTGCAGCAGTAAAGAGATACGGATCCAATATGTGCTTCAATTGTCCTGAAAGGAACTCTAGAAAAGATTTTTTTCATAGGTCATAGAAAACAACTTATAGTTCATTTTACCGTTTTTGGTAGATCACACCAAGACTATAGTTGTAGTCATTGTTCTTGGCGGTTGCGTCATCAGGGCATATGAAATAAGCAAACAGATCGAGTCTCCGTACCGTGGGCGGATCTTAATTTACTACTCCCTCTAGTACGCATGAAGTGGGTAACAGGGAACGCTGTTTTCATTCTCTTCCTGGAAATACTCTGATAAATTTAACACGAGCTGTCGGCCTTCTCCATTGATCACATTTCCGGGCATTGTACAATTTTATATTGAAGATTGATAACATGACAACTTAAATTGCGCGCCGATGTCTAACCTGTCACTCTGACAAATATGACTGAAGGGCACTCATACGTGACGACAAAGTTTTCGAGACGGAGACACAACTAAAAAACGTATGACTTTGACTTTACCGAACAAACGTTCACACACAGGGGTAGGTTGCATACTATTCGTCATTTATTTGTCTGTGTATGTATGAGATGGAGATATACTGAGTGACAAAGAAAGGTAAACATCTACATATGTTTATTTGTTACAAACGAACCCAGGCACACTAATTAACTGCAAATTTTGAATTGTTATTACGTTGTTAGTACCGTTTGCTGTAATTTTTTCTATGGATCACACAGATAGTAAAGGGTTGCGTTGGGTATGAAATAAATAAATTGTACCACGCACGTA